ACTTTGTGGGTCCAGGAAGAGCCAGCCTTGCTGGGGCGGGCGCAGTGGCAGTGGCTGGCCACATGTCCTGACTCAGGCAAATCCTCCCCACATCTAGTTATCTGTGTTGTGAAGGAAACTCAAGGCACTGCGTTCGTCACCAGCCTGACCTCACAGGTTGGACGAGCAGAGTCAAACCGCCAGAGACATCCAGAATTCAGCTGCCATCTCGGTCCATTCCACCTCCAACGTGAGAACTTCAGGTCAAGAAGATATTGAAATAAGAGCAGAAAGAAGCTTTAAATCCAATCAGAGGATGTTACTGATTCCTGTGAGCAGGTAAAGGAACAAAAAGTGTCCCCTGGTGCCACCAGCCTGACCAGGGTCAGTCACCCCCGGGACATCATTGGGCGGCCCTGCCATGAGGGCATCTGAGGAAGCAGATGCAGCTACTGGAAGACAGCAGAGTTCTCCCCCATTTTGGCACCCCTGAGATTTAACCGCCCCCTAGACATGTTTAGGTGGCTCGGACTCATAGTGTTATAATTAAAGATTTAAAGATGTGCATCCTTGACACTTAGTACATTTTTAACCTAGCCCAATAAAATAACAGATCCAGCCTCAGATTCCATTTTTCAACATGTAAATTGAGCCGCTGATTCAGGCTCATGATTTAAGATGACATTTTGCTGCTACATGCTTCGAGAATATCTAGTTGAATGAATCTTTGCAAAACTTCTATCTTTATGTCCTTAGATGCTAAGAATTATTTACATCTTCATGGAAGGTGTGTGTCAGACAGACCTCAGGGGGAGGGGGTGACAGGGTAGCGGAGCTGGCCCTGGAGCTCTGGAGAGTGAGTGAGGCGTGTGCACATTCAAGTGTGAGGCTGTTCTCCCCACAATCACAGCTTTGTAAATGAATGTCAAACCAATAAAAAATTTTTAAAGATTTATTTATTTATACAGGATCCGGGGTACAGGCTAGATGCGCGGGAGGATGAGAGGATTCACCAGAGACAGAGCGGGGAACAGAACAGGCAGACTGAGGAAATATACACTGCTGAGGGGAGCAGCGGGCGAGACAGGAGAGGTCTGCCAGGCCATGTGGGATTCTCGCCGGCCGGCGGTGGGGATTGAACCCGAGCTGCAGAGTCTGCGGACAGCTTCACAGTGCAGCGCTCAATCGCCTGCGCCACCAGGGAGACACTATTTTAAAAAATAATTAAAAAGTGAAAATCGAATTTATACATGAACATTAAAGCAGCTTAGTTAACAAAGTAAATGGAATGGTGCATCAGGAAATTTCCTTTTAGAACAAACTTTAAATTTTGCTGGAGGAGTAGAAGATAAAAAAAAAATAAAATTTGCTAGATCCAAACCCATTCCATTGTACCCAAATGACACAAAAACACTAATTTGAAAGAAAACCTGCACCCCTATGTTCATTGTAGCACTACTCACAATAGCCAGGCTATGGAAACAACCTAAATGCCCCAAAACAGCCGGGTGGATCAAGAAGACGTGGTATATACACAGTGGAATACTACTCAGCCATCAAAAAAGATAAACTCATGCCATTTGCAGCAACACGGAGGAGCTGAAAGGGATGATGCTCAGTGTAATGAGTCAGAAAGAAAAAGATGATCGAATGATCTCATAATCTCACACAATTCCATATGTGGAATGTAGAGAAACCAAACAAAGGGTCAGGAAAAAGACAAACTTGCAGCTGCCCATTGATCTGGGGCATCCAGCACGGGAGGGGTTCAAAACAGGCGCAGAATGGTTTTGCCTCAAGGCAAAAGCCAAGGAAGAGCAAAGGGCCAGAGGCGCTGGATCACAGAGCGGCAGTGATGGCAGAACTACGGGGATGCACCTGCGGAGGAAGCACATACTGTCCAAACATTAACAACGATGGTATGAAAATTTAAAACAAAGTTCAATTCCAAACACCTTATGGAAACACCGCACCCTCAGGGAAGTGCAGCGTGACTGACACGGTGCAGTGACTTCCTTCCAAGGGCAGAGTCAGGGCACAGGCGGAGCAGCCTCATGGAGGAATCCCACACACACTGCCTCCGCCAGGTGGCCAAGGCCGGCACCCACAGTGGCCAGTCATGCTGATGGGGCGTCCTGGACACCACGTGCAAAGGATGCCCTGAACCCCTGGGGTTTCCCTCCCCAAAACCCCTACAGTAGACAAACCCCAGCAGAGGAACAATCGACAGAGCCCCTGACCAGCTCTTAACACTGTCCAGCTGGTCAAAACCAGGGGGCCTGGAGAGCAGTCTCAGCCAGGAGCGCCCAGGGAAGCCTGAGAAATCCAGTTACTATGGAAACTGGACGGGGTCCTGGCACATTAAAGAGCAAGAGGCAAAACCCAAGGAAATCTGAAGAGCATCTGGAATCCACTTAATAACAGCATGTTGCAGGCCTCCCTGGTGGGGCAGAGGTTAAGTCTCAGCGCTTTGAAGCTATCACCAGCCACGGCAGCATGAGCTCCATCCCCAGGCAGGGAGCTACCCACAGGGCGCAGCAGACCTCTCCTGTCTCCCACTGCTCCCCTCAGCAGTGGATTTTCAGTTAATCCACCTGTTCTGCTCCCCACTCTGACTCTAGTGAATCCTCTCACTAGAAGATTCCCACCCCTGTGACCGGTACCCCAGCTCCTGTATGCATAAATAAATAAATCTTAAAAAAAAATACTAGTATGCGATTAATTACTAATGTGCTCATTAATAAAAAAATACTAGTGTGCTCATCAATTATCACAAATGTGCCACACGGATGGGGAAGTGGGGGTGAGGCATGTGGCGACGACCCTACAAATCTAAAATTCTTCCTTTAAAAAGCATATTAAAAATAAAAATAAATTAAAAATAAATTAAAGTAAAATAACATTGGCAGGATCTATAAAGAGGCGATTTGCATTGATTAGCTTAAGTTTAAAGCTCCAGAAAGAATTTTAATAAACAATTTACCTTTAAAGCCCAAGTCAATCTCTGGATGATCGCACCTCGAGTTGCTTTTGCGCAAAAGCAAATTCACCCCAGAGGATGGGAGAGCTCACACGGAAAGTCAGTCATTCTGTGCGAAAGCCCAGTACAGGCTCGTTGGGGGCCTCGGGGCAGTGGCCGGTGCCCGGCTGGAGCTGGGGTCTCCCGCCCGCCTCCGCCCAGGGCAGGGTTCCCGCACAGAGCAGGCGCCCGGAGCCCCGGCTCGGCTGCCAGAGCGGGCCAGAGGGGAGAGGCAGGTCACAGGACACGGTGAGAGATGTAGGACCTGGCGAGGCTAAGTGGGGAGTACAGCAGTGGGGAGTCACCTCGCCAAGGATTGCTGCTTGGCTGGCAGGGGGGGGGGGGGGGCTGCGAGGAGTGCAGGGGATGGAGGACGACGACGGGACCAGGAGCCAGAGGCGACAGCCGGATCCGACTGGGGGGCCGCTGGGCCTCCCGCCCCGGGAAGGCAGAGACCAGGACCGAGAGGCCCTGCACATGCCGGATGGGGCGGGCAATGCTGCCGAGAGGCCAGGCACCCCCATCCCCTGGGGCCCCAGGGCAGGGTCGCCCACAGCCTGGGCAGGTACCAGCACCAGGATGCCCCAGCAGCTGGGCTTCACAGCCTTTCTTTTGTGACCGAGGCTAGAACTCAGGAACGGCCAGAGGACAGAGGCCCTGGCGGGGTACGGGGGCAGGGGGGACTCCAGCCCCTTCAGTCCATCCTCCCCACTTGCCACACGTTCCACCTGGCACGGATTCTGCTCCTTTTCAGCTGTGTGACCTCCAGCCAGCTGCCCACCCTCCCTCTGCCGCAGCTTCCTCCTCTAGAGGCCAGGGACAAAGGGGTACCCTCGCCCTCAGAGCTGTTACAAGGGCTGATCTCTCCTGGCAGGCGGCATTTGCGCCCAGCATCCTGCTCCCTGCGGCCCCTGAGCAAATCCCCACATGCTCCCGGCTCTCCAGCCCCTCCGGAGCGACCCTCGGTGTTCACGGACAAGCCTGGCGCTCCAGCCTCCCCTGTGGAGGGCGAGAGGGCGTGTGGAGCACGGCCTCCCTCACAAGCAGGGTTCTCGGGAAACCTCTGTGTCTCCTCAAGTTTTATTTCATCTTCCTGCAAGGCCGAAATGAAGCAGCTCTGGTCCCTTCAAGTTCTAGAAACACAACCTCATTTCCATGAGAAATAATTCTTCACTGTACAGAGATACACAGTGGGGGAGCGTGTTTGCAGAAAACCTCTAAGAAGCCGCAGAGGCTGGAGGTGGAGCCTGCCTGGGTCCGACCATCCCCAAGGAGGCAGCTGGCTGACCGGCCGCTGCCACCCTCACCCACCCAGGCCTGGGCCACAGACGAGCGCCCGGGCCAGGCGGGCAGCTAAGCAAAGTGTCGTCCTCAAGTCACCATTCGCTTCAGAATCAGGGGCAGCCCATCCTCTGGGGCCAGGAGCACATGCTGGCAAAACCCAGGCTCCCCAAAGCCCACTCAGCCCAAGATTCCCCCCAGGGGAGGCAGTTCTGAGCCCAGCCCTGAGGGTGCAGCGCAGGCAAGAGCAGGAAACACATCAGGAAGGAAGCAGCTGGGTCAGGTCCGAGGAATGCTGCCTAGTGGGCACGCCTCCCCAGACAAGTCAACACGCCAGGAGGGTCTGCTGCCGGCTCGGGCCCAGCCTCACCCCAGAGTCACAAGCCTGGACCTCCAAAGTTGCTGTGTCCGCAAGGGTAAAATGGGATGACAGCACCCCCCATTTCACAAGGTCGCCGACCCCCAGAACTGAGAAGCAGCAGGAGAACATGGGGCCCTACCGCGGTGGGCAGGTCCTCAGATTATTTCTGGGGCACTGGAGGGACTCATTCCTGGCTTCACTCAGCTCACAGTCTAGTTCAGATCAAGAACCCCGCATCGCCCTCCCTCTCCACCGCTCCCCACCCCCACAGACACCATCAACAGTGGTGCCAAGGAAGGTCTTTCAAAAGGCATCGTCCTGGGTGCCTGACGTGTGTCCAGATGTGCTGCTGGGCTCCCCTCAATCACCTGGACACTCCTCTCCCAGGGAACTCTCCAGAGCATGCCAATATATCAGCATATCTTGAGACTTGACAAAATGGCAGGCCACAACCTTCTTGAAGCGACATGAGGAAAAGGCTAAGCCCTCTGGGAAGAAGGTCTGCTCTGTGTGAAGGGGCTCAGGTCTGATTTTCAGTTTGGCGAGGCAGAGCCCCACAAAGACATCTTCCAGCTTAAGGAACGGCACGCCGTGAGAAACGTTATACACCTGAGTGGCCACATCGCTGGAGAACACGTAGCCAGTGCCAGAGCAGAAGGGCGGGTACTTGTCCCACGGATACTCCTCTTTGCTCACAAACCACTTACTGTCCTTTTTCCGGATGGGAAGTTCATCCATTTTTAGGAAGCCGGTGAAAAACCCCGAGGTCCAGTTCTTCCTCAGAAGCAGCTCCGTCAGATAGTAGACGTTGATAAACATGTCAGAGTCTGTTTTCATGACGAAAGCGGCCTGAGGACAATAGCGGTGGACCCACTCCATTCCCATCATGGTCTTCAGGGTCAGATTCACATAAACGTCCACAAAGTCCTTCTGGATGATGTCGCGATGCTGCTGGCTCTCCTGGGCCACCACCAGAGACCTGTCCCTGCTCGACGGGGTTCCCAGGAGGAAGAATGTTTTTATTCGTTTTCCTCCGACCGTCCTGTCTCCTCCCCAGGTGCTGCGGATGGCGCTGCGCTCTGACGTCTGATGGGGAGACGACGTCACCAGCAGGACCAGGAAGGGGGGCTGCTGCTTGCAGTCCATGTCTGGGAGCTGCAGGAAGTCCCCATTTTCTCTCTTGAAAAAAAATGGACTTGCTTTCAAAGGGCTCAGATTGTGCATGCTAAGATACAAGCAAAGGGCTCCAAGCACCATGAGGGAAACAAATATCAACCTCATCTTCAGGGAAGCCATCTGAAAGAAAGAGAACAAATGGTCAGAACTCAGTGGCACACGGACTTGCTGACCTGGACCTGGGCGGTGGGCAGGGGAGGGACCGTGCTGCAAGCTGCTGTCTCCAAACCCTGCAACCTCTGCACACGGATGGAGTCTGGGGTTCAACAGAGAGGCAGAGAGGACGCCAGTGTCTTCACTCCACAGTGGAAGGTCAAGGCCACAAGCTGGGGCACAGGTCCAGGCTTCCAAGGTCACCAGGGACCCAGTGGAAGTCAGCAACCCCATCCAGAGGACAGGGGACCACATACCTCACCGGGTATTTCCAGCGCCGTCCTCCTCAGGCTTCTACAGAAGTCAGCTAGGGAACCTGGGAGACTGGACCTAAACGTGTAGACAATTTGCCTTCTTCTCCTCCATGAAATTAAGCATCCTTTGTCTTGTGCAGAAAGAAGCCAGGCCAGTTTTCTGATTTGCATATCTACCTTAGAATTCTGCCCCTGCTGGCAGTGCTGCGTTTTTTTCTTTCTTTTTTTTTCTTTTTTTCAAGTAACTTTGAAATCTTTTGAGTTTTTCATCTTTTGCTCATCTATCTTTTCATCTTTTGCTCTCTAGAAATCCAAGGTCCTTCAAGTTGATGTTATAACTATATGAAATCTAATAACTCACTTTTCCCTGGTTAAGATGAACCTCTGGTTTGAAAGCCACAGAATAGACTCCAAGAGGAAATGTGTGCCAAAGAGCCGTCAGTTTGTGAAGTCGGGCACCATCCGTTTCTGAGCTTGGTGTGTTTGCCAAAAATGAAGATTCTCTTGTTCAAGAACCACTGTAAGGAAAAACCAACAAGGAGAGTGTCATTCAAATCCTCCCTGCCTCCCTGGCAGTACCAACATTTGTTTTGGTGCCAGTTCAGCAGCTACCTACGTGACCTGGAGCCTATCCTCAGCCTCAGTTTTCACTAAGGAAAAGTAATTCTATCTCTCTGATTCACCTGTGGACTACAAGAAAGGCTGCAAGGGAGAACGCTCTCAGGCCTAATGATGGGTGAAGATTCCACTCTAAGCATTTATAGAGACATGGTGAACTCACTCGACAATTTTTTTCTGCCCACAATTTACCTTCTCTACATAACAGAGTCTGTGGTTGGAAATGAAAAAAATTTAACACAGATAAGAAACCCATTAATTCTCAACTCAGTGCCCCTGTCTTCAAAACATTATCCTGATGTGGAGCTAGCAAGAAAAGAAAATGACCCAGTGATAAGAAGGAAAGATTGGTATTTCGATGGCAAGAGACATTTTCATTACAATTCTGTTCCATATCTATGCAACACAACTCAGCCACCCAAGGAAAGACTTCAATTGAAAAATGGACAGAAGAGCTGAACAGACACTTCTCCAAAGAAGATACACAAATGGACAACAGACATATGACAATATATTCATCATCTATTATTAGGGACATGCAAATCAAAAGCACAAAGAGGCACCACTTCGCAGCTGTGGAAATGGCTATTATAAAAAAGGAAAAAAACAACAGTTGCAAGGATGTGGGTGGGGCAGCAACTGCCTCTCGATAGGGTACCTGGCCAGCTCGCCACATTTTGGAGAGCAGAGGAACATTGCCCTACCCTCCTTGGTCCACCTCAGACTAGTGGAGAAAAAAAAATCAGACAGATTAGGAGAGAAAGATGAAATTTAATTACATCTGTATGGAGCACTCCCATGGATATAAACTCTAGAGTGAGTGGGACAGACGGAAGGCCTATCTCCTGAGCCAAGGAATAGGATAAGGGTCTGAGTGTCAAGGAACGAACTCACGGCAAGAGGAGGGAAAACTTCCTATGGTAAAACCTTGCCTCTAGATCTTTCCCTGCCATAGATGGGTTTCTCAATTTAAAAAAAAAAAAGAGCATTCCTAAGGAGGACCCTAAATCTGGAGGAGGAGACACCCGAGAGGACCAGCCCACGACCCGAGGCAGCAGATTGTCGGGGAAGAAAGGACCACGATTCGGAGCTCGCCAGTGCTGATGCAGGGAGAGGCCAATGGACTTGGACTAATGGACTTGGACTGACAATCCCGCCAGAAGGCGGAGGAACTTTGGCAGGGTAATGTTTTGGGGACCCTGGCGGAAGATGGTATTGTTTGTAAACCCCAGGAGATGGGAATATGGGGGTGGCCAGTGGGCCTTGATGGCCAAAGCAGCCTGTGTACTGCCCAGCAGCCAGGCAGAGAGAAAAAGCCAACTTAGAAAAGCAAAAGCTGGTGCTCAGATTTGGAAGCCGTGAGCGGCTATTTAAAAGCTTAAAAATGTTGAAGGCCAGTGAGTCTCTTAAAATCACCTGTGGGTGATGCCCTGCTCATTGCTGAGTGAGGAGCTGAGGAACCCGTCCTTGGGGGACAGGTGGGGCACGTGGCTTGTGGTGAAGCCCAAGCCAAAGAGGGGACCCGGAGAGGCCGCAGGTAGAGCTTGTATCCACGGATACCGACCCATGTGCTTGTGCAATGGGCTGGCCTGAGTGCAGGGGTCTGCGTGTCGCACTGGTGACTCTGAATGCCGAGTGCTGGAGCGACCGCAGACAGAAACCCTGAGGATTGGATGATTACCCGCAAAGTACAGAATCGCCAATCCAAGAGTGAGCGCATCCGGGGGTGGATGCTGTGTGGCTGCAGCCGAGACCACAGTTGGATAGTTTCCCCCTTGAATGAGCAGTGCCTCTGGCAGCAGAAGTCCTGGATCATCTGCTGGTGCCAATAATTCTTTTGCCACTAGGTTGGTGCCCTGCCTGGACTAATTTGTGTTCTGTTGTATTTTGTTATGTTGTGATGTACACCATTTGCTTTTGTGGGCCATGGCTGCAGGCTTCTATTGCCAAGAGAAACGTATATGACCTGTATATAGACTTGTGTAGACTGGCAGAAAACCCTGAGGGGATGGATTGTAGGGCAAGGTAAAAAGTATCAGGCTTTTCTGCCCTCCCGCCATCAGGATGGATGAAGGATCCCTGCGGTCCTGAATGCAGGCCTGATGGCGGCACCTGGAGTAGGGTGTGGGCATATGTAGGTGGGTACACCTGGGCTGAGACGGGGCTTTTAAGAGTGGGACGGAACCACCAGGAGAGAACAAGACTGGCAGAGAGAAAGAGAAGCCGAAGAGAGAATGAGACCCCGAGAGCACACCGGAGAGCCCAGGAAGAGTGAAGCCTCACCAGGGGCTGAGAGGCCTGCCCGCCTCCCGGCACCCCTGCCTGCCGGGTACCAAGTAAACTCAGTAAAAGCCTGAAAAAGCCACCGAGGGCTCCAGGATCATAGAGATCCTGCTCTGTGCCTTCCTGGCACTGCAGAAAGACAATAGGAATAAGAGCCTCAAGAATACACCCATCGAGGGTTCTCCGCAGAAGAGGAGGCCACGGCATGAGCCAGCGTGCCCACCCCCATGCGACTCAGTCTGCACCAATACGTCTCCCCAGCAGGCAGGCGATCTGGGCACACACCTGTCCCCGGAGAGCAGAGGAGCATAACCAACCATTTAACAAATGATTATTTTAGGAAAGGGACGGCCAGTGTACATTTTGGTTATGTAGAAAGGCTGGCGCGACGGGAAAAGAACTCAGTGAAGCAGAAGCCCATGTACGTGGTCACGTCACGACAATTTACTGGGGAAGAGCGATCTTTGCAGCAAGTGCTGGGCCAGCCTGGGGAAAAGGCGCCTGACCCCCGCCTAACACCATACGCAAAAGTCAAATCCAGATAGACAGCAAATCTAAAGGCGGAAGATTTCTCTTACTAAAAGAAAGATTTTCTGATCTTGGCCTGGGCAATTATTAAGCAAAACACAAGAAAACTCCATAAAAGAAAAGGATAAACAGAATTTCAAAAGCTCCCATTCAAGAGAGTTCAACGGCAAGTCACTGGATGTATTTGCCCTGCACAATCTGATAAGGACTGAAAGGGCACAAGGTGAAACCCTCTGATGAGTCAATAAGGGAAAAAAACCACAATTTAAAAAAAATCGTGAACAGTATTTCACAAAAGATAACAAACGGCACACACAGAAAAGGGTGACGTCGTGAGTCATGAGTGAAATGGAAATAAAAACCACAGTGAGACCCACCACCCCATCAGCGTGCAGCCCAGCCCGACTCTGACGCACGGCCGGCCGGGAACGTTCAGAGTCGCTGCTTCTCCAGGGCCAAAACCGCTGTACCGGCTGGGTCCAGCCAGGGGACAGCAACTGCACGGTCACCTGAACAGGGAACGTTCAGGCCCATGAGTGTGCGGAGGGCAGAGAGCGTGACCCCACTACCTAGGGGCCGCAGGGCGTCGCCCGCTGGACCCCTCACCCGTGGGGTCCCGGATGCCACTGGGGCAGGGACAGCTGCAGGAGGGGTCCCTGCAGCAAGAGACTCAAGGTGCCAGAGTGGCCGTGGGAAATGCAGCCGGTCCTCAGAGCAGCGCGCCCTAGGGCTGAGGAACAGGGAGGGGTAAGCCCCCCCACTGCCCCCCCACCCCCACCCACCCCACCCCCACTAGGGCGCAGGAGGCTGGCTGAGCACAGAGGACTCGCAGCACAATGGGAAAGTCATGAGCAGGAACTTGATAAATGGCATCAGCATGAGCCAGAAAGTTCTTTCAAGAGTAGAATGGTGTATGAAGTGTTACACAGCCATTAAAATACACACCACTGACATACCCACGATGAGTCACGGACAGCCGGCCCGGGCGTGGGGAGAACGGGGCTCGAGTGCATGAGCCCTTGACACCTAGTTCACCAGGCAGATGGCAGCGGGCAGGAGAGAGGCAAGCTGCTGCCGGGACCCCCTGGAGAGCCAGGTGGGGCGACCCCGTGATCTGGACAATGCTTTCATGGGCACAGATGTGTGTAAATGTCCATCAGGCCTACAGCTGGGGTGTGGCATTTTGCTGGAAGTTGTGCCACATTAATAATTTTTAATAATTCTAATGAAAAATCAATCTCTAAAAAGCTGTCTTCTGTAGAATTTCCCAAGTGTACTGACCATACATCACGTTTGTTCCGCAGTGCATTTCACGGGCCAGCGTGTCGGAGACCAAACCCAGCTCTGGGGGTGCCCTTTGTGAGCGAGGCGCGGGGGGAGGGGCAAGCCGGCTGCCAGCAGAGCTGACTAAACCACAGCCTCGCAGAGACAGGGTACAGCTCGCCCGCAGGGCTCTGGCAGGGGCGCCGGGTTCTGACGAAAAGCAGAGGCAGGAGCAAACCAGGTTCAGATGATGGCCTTGCCGGGAAGGCCGGGAGAGGCAGGTGAGGGCAGGGTGACGGCACAACGGCCATAGGGGCAGTGTCTTCAAGTGTCCGCTACTGCCAGCGCCTGCCGTGTGATC